GGAGGAAGCAGGGGTTTCCGTCACATCCACATTCCCCTCATCCGCCTCATCCCCTTCTCCCAATCCATCAACATCAAAATCCAACACTCTATATCAACCCCCCCCCCCCTTCCCCATTCCCCCACCCCCATCCATCCATGCATCCATCAATCAATCTGAAACTTAAAGAAAAAAGAAAAAGAATTCTATAATCACTCTATACACATCTACAGCTCAGATATGAAATTACCCCAATCTGAAAACACTATACTCCAATTTCAACACAAAAATATAATACCCAAAAGATCGCTAGACTTTAATAATAGTACTAGTGAAGATATCTATCTATTTATATACACTTTATTTACTATATATATAACCATAAACAAAAGAGTGACTCTGAACCTTAATCCCAGCATGAGGAATTGAAAATTCTATCCTAGAATGAAATAATCGATGGATAAAAATACGCATCTCTCTCTATATATAAATATAATGAACCATCAAACCCAGAAAAATCCCAAACAAAAAACCGAAACACCATCCCATCATCCAAGTAGAAAAATAAACACAATAAAATTATGCACAGCCAACAACCTGCAAGCGCAATCCCAATCCCGATCCTATCCTAAACCCGATCCTGATCCAAAAAATCAAACCAAACCCAAAGAAACCTTAAACCCATTAAGTTCCAAACCCCCCAAACTCTCCTCAATCGGCATCAACAAATCCATCAAGACATCTCCAAAAACATGTTTCGATTCTTTGACCTCCTTGTCCGGATGGGAATTACACAAGAGGACGACTTCACATCCATTTTTGATATCGAAGTTTTGGTAACTGTCATAGATGCTAATGAATGAATGACCCGTGTATGGTGCTTCGGGGAGTGGATAGAGATTATGATAAATAGCTTCTTTAATCAACATTCCTAAAACCATGGCGTCGCATTGTTTGTTATGTTGAGGGATTTGATCTATGGGTAGATGTGTAGGACGACCTCGACAGACGAGGGTGGAGGTTTGATAGGTTTCTATTGTGTCTCTGAGAGCGGAGATTGCTTCATCGAGAGCTCTGATTCGGTCTTGCTCGATATTATCTGGATAATGATTAGCTCAAAAGTTATGTCACTCGAAATCAAGTTTACCTACCTATTACGGTAGTAGGGACAGGAATATCCCAAGCAGAATCGGAAATCATTTCCGACAAACTCTGCGTGCTCTCTTGTTGAAATATCCTCGTCATAGCCGTAAAATCCCGACTCTTTTCAAAAACCCAAGAGATACAAAGCCACTGAAGACAAACCTCCGTCCCATCCTCCGCCATCGAAGAGGGAAACCTCTTTTTCGCATGGGAAATCCACATATCGGAATATATCTGCACAGCTTCATGTAGCCTATACTTATCCACCAAAATAGCCAGATGCGTAAGTAAACCGAGTTTAACCTTTCGCGGTACATCTTTATGATGACAATGAACGATATCCACCAGTATCCTCATAGCTTCTGGATCATCATCCGGTAATGGAACTTCAACTTTTCCATGCGCTTTCATAGCATATCCATCCTTAAAATTACTCCATTGAAGCATGGCCTTAAAAACCGGCGAGACGAGAACCATATGTTTCGACGAAACCAACATATGTATTTCCTTCAATTCCATCGGTTTCTTCTCCTTCTCCTTCTCCACATCTGCATTATAAGAATCTTCCTCTACCGTTTCCAAAACCTCCGCCACCTCCCCATCCGTCCCCCTCTCCATCCCAATCCCCGAATCATCAATCGGTACCACCGCCAGCGCCTCAATCTTCCTCTTACTACACTTCCTCCGCTCATTCAATATCAATAACAAATCACCATCCGGATCGATCGTAACTCGTTCCGCCATCTTCCTTCTTATCATCGCTTTCGCACACGATTTATGTTCTAGTCTTAATTGATTCTCATCATCTTCCCCTCCCTGATCTATCGTATCGACTGTATCCACCGCATCATATTCTTCGAAAATATCTTCTTGCACCGATGAAGGTTCATGAATATATTTAACGCGTTTATTGCGATGATGAGCTTGATGTGAAGATGAAGATTTCTGGCCCTCGGGAAATTGTTGCGGGAATAGCGCGCGGAGAAATCTGGGTTGGAATGTATTGGTCATTGATACTCGTGTATGTTAGATTGGAGTGTTTATTGATTGAAAGGAAATTGGAAAACGTACCGTTCGCTATGCATTGGTGTGTGGGATAGTGTGTATTGAATGGTATGCATACCTTTTTTTGTTTGTTTACTTTGGAGAAGATTTGATGGATCGTCTTGTTGAGGAGTGAGGGTTGGGTTAGCCTTGTAAGGTGGGGTTCAGGGATCACTTGGGATGAGTTAGGGATGAGCTTTGTAGAATTATAGAAGCTTTTAAACTACACTCTCTACGGGAAAGGTAAACTTTCTGTATTCCGCAGAACAAGTAATCGGTAGACGATGAAACTCAAGTTTTTGGAATCTTATATCGAGGATTTTCACATCAAAAATGGTGGTTTATAAACAAAATATTGTCACTGATCCCACATTTTGAAGCTCGTACCATCGAAACATCCGAAAGACTTTTTGCTTTGTGAAGCTAATTTGACCGGGCAACCGGGCAAAAGTATTGTAAATTTAGCGGATGAATTAATATACAAATGGAGTAGAAAGAAGCTTTTTGCATAAGATTTTATGGTTTACCTATTTAAAGACTCGATCCTATAAACATGTCAAAGATACACGCTTCTAAAATTGGGTGCTTATGGAAGAGCAGTATTTCACTGATCTCAATTTCGGAATTGTGTTCCGACCACAATCACGCCGGCTGAGACAGCCAAGTTAGCCAAGATATTAAGTAGAAGCTTATTTCTTCATCATGTATTTGATATGCAGAGAATATATCTAATAGATATTCCCTTAACCACAAATCCCACCAACCTGGGCATCATGCAAAATCACAAAACATATCTAAACGTAGGCCCATCATTCTCATCTCCAACACCGGCACCAATCTGCTCTCCCGTCTTTGGATTTTCACCCACCACAATCCCATTAGCATCTCTTCTACCCACCTCACCATACTTCTGATCCAATCTCTTGTTTTCCCAGTTCAAGAGCGTTCTCAAGGTAAAGGCCAAAATTCCATTGAAAATCATAAATGCAGTGCAAACCCACATTCCCTTGCGATAGTATGGAGCATCTCCAGTAGGGTACATCCTCGTACCAAGAAGAGGACCACATTGACCAACAATATTGAGAATTGCAATACCAGCACCACGTTTCGTGTCTGAGCCTTGATTATTTAGGACCCAGGGAAGGATATTAGCAATAGCGGGGAAGATACCTGCCGCAGCGAGGCAAACCCCAGTGTACCGAGGACCAACCGAGGAGGTGGTGGCCTGTGAGCGTACGTCAGCATGAACTTTATTAGATAAGATATTTGAAATGGTGATACTTACTAGTAAAATATACCCAACGGCACCAATAACGGACAGGCACATGAGCACGTAACCACGTTGTTGAGTGCGATCAGCAATATAAGCCGAAATGATGACGACGAGGAACGCGAGGAAATATGGTGGAGCGGATAAACCTTGAGCATTGATGGAGGAAAAGCCCATCTCGTTGAGAATGGTGGGGAGGAAGACGGGGAGGGAGCTGAACGAGACATTGCATGAGAAATACATGAATGCTGTGAGATAATTCTGATTATGTTGTTAGACTTTAAACCTTCCAAGAGAGCGACGTAAGATGAAACGTACTTTGGGATCCACAAGAGCTGCAGCAATATCAGCCCATTTAACACCTCCAACACGTTCTTCCTCCGCGCCTACTTGTCGCACACCTCGTGCTCTGGCGACGGCCTTCTCTTCTTCATTCAAAAAGCGTGCTTTCTCAGGACTATCGGGCAAGACGAAGAATGTCAAAATTCCGGTAGCCACACATGGTAGACCCTCAACCAGAAATAGCAAACGCCAATTGGCAATCGCAGCATGTCCACTGGTGATACCATATGCCAATGCACCCGCAAAGCAAGTTGCCAATGGTGCAGCACTTAAAAAAATTCCAATACGTATGCCGATTTCGTGGCGCAGGTAGAAGAAGGATAAGAGGTACGGAATACCGGGTCCATAACCCGCTTCGAAGAATCCAAGGAAAAATCTAGCTGCCATCATACCAGACCATGATTGTGCAGCTGATTGAAGAGTGGCGACCGTACCTGCGACATCGAAAGGTTAGTGGTTGTATAATTAAGAATGTCTCCGAAAGATTGAATAACTAGAGTGACAGGATGTACAGAATGCTGATCATGAGTGTTCAAACACTAATGAAAATCAAAAAATGAAATGAAATAACTTACCCCACCCAACCACACAAAAGCAAGCCCATACGTGTGGAGGAAGAACCTTCCACATCAAAGCAAACCATTCGAATACAATGTATGAAATGTAAAAGATTGTCAATAGCCATTCGTACTCTGGGCTAGAAATATCCAGATCTTTCGTCATCCCAGCAGTTTTAGCATTGCTATTGTAGTGTTAGAAATACTGTAGCGCTCCTATTCTCAATTTTTGACATACCCAATATTTGACCGATCAAGATATGATAAAAGATCTGTTAAAAAAGTCGATTAATCTCTGCAAATGGAATCCGTGGCATGTTGCTTACACAATAGCATCACCAGTGGAATAAGCCTTTTGTCCAACTTTCGCACCACCCTCTTCTCGATCTCGGGGTCTATGTAGAACCCATTGTGAGCCGAAGGGGCTTCACGAGCCGCTTCGAGTTGAGTAACTTCTGGCTTTTCAGACTGGACCAATAATGATTTGCAGTCGTATGAGGAGAGTTGAGATGTTCAAAAGATGAAAATGGGTTTGCCTTGAAAAAGAACAGACAGATCATATGCTGGTGTTACCTCTTCGGGACTCGCTACGCCAATAGTAGGTAGTATTTGGTCAGCGCGCACGAATTTTCCGCGCAATTAAAAGTCAGGTCGGTCTTACGGAGTACAACACGTTGTAAGATGAGGGGTAAAAAAGACATGTAGGTACTCGAGTACTCCATCTTCGTTTTATCCATATGTACGGGAAAATATTTAAACGTTTGCAACGTCACATTGATACATTGACGGGAACCCCCATAGGCGATTTATTTCCATGTTGAGCGGCAAACATGGGGTTCTTGGCATGGGCCCCCCGCATTCGTGGGGACTCCACGCTTTTCATTCGTGGGAAATGCCAGTCCCTGTAGAAAAATATATGGTTATCCGGTATAGAACGAATTCCGCACAACTTCATTCGATGAATATGAACGAGTTCCACACACTTGGGTCAGCCTCATTGTCACTCTACTCCGTAGACGGTAAGAAACCATACAACTGTCAGCGTTGCATTGTTTTCCCGTTACGCACGAACGAACCAACAAATCAAATCGATACCGGCGCATGATATCCGTGGGTCCTGAGATTTTGCAGCTAGGGGAAGCATGAAGGAAAGTGCAGTGTTCAAGATGTATCCTCGTCAAAGATTTGATTATCATTAGGTGACATTCCGTAGAATATTCGAATTTGCACCACCAAGTATAAATTACAGCACGGTTATGTCTCCGGAAAAGTATACTGTACTTGTCTTCCATCGGCTATATATGTGCATGCTACGCTACGTAAGTACATACTCGTAACAAACTTGGTAGAAAGATCCAAGTATAACAATAATAGTCCAAATCATCATTTCGTGGAGCTTAAAAGCTGAAAGCTTTCTTCCTTCGTTTCCACTCCTACCCTCTCACACTTGGTTTTTCCGCTGCAATCAAGCAAGCTTCATTGGATCGCATAAACATCGGATAATGTGGCGTTTACAAATGTTTTTGTGTTTCGCCCCGAAAGAAATTGCAACCATTACTAACAAAATCGAAATTGAAGTACTCAGTGCTCAGTACAAGAATTGAAAAGAGACAAAAAAAAAAGAGAGAGAGAAAAAGAGAAAACCCCGCGTGGAGCCTTTTGGAATTTTTGATGGCGGCGGATGGAGTACGGGTACATACATAATGTAAGGGACGCGGAACGGAACTGGATCTTTTTATTTCTTGGCAGAAACGTTTTATTGGAGCGATGCCAAGAGTCAAAATGCTCAGAGTTCTACTCAAGTAGCTTACATGTTATTCTCCTCTTGGCAGCCGTAAAATCCAACAATGAAGATATACTTATCCTCGAAACCAGCGGTAAGAGATCGGAAGAGGGTCAAAGCAAAAGATGGAAAAGGACTTCCTGCCAATCAAAATCCCATGCTGATGGGTAAGCAATACTGTACTCGAGACTCGGCTCCGCACTCTAGAATAATTCCTCAATGTAACGCTGGAGATCCGACTGAGCCGTGATCTGCTGCAAGAAGATTTGGTTTATCCTGGCAAGATCTTAGCATATTCAATCTTGGAATTAAATGACGTTCTAATATTCAGATATCATTAATGGTAGCGACACAGCAAAGAGGGGAAAAAGGTTGCGAGAGTGGATAAGGGGTAATGAAACATAAATAGATTTGATAGACTCAGTACTAGGACAGGCCTTCTTCCTCTGGCGACAGGAACCCCTCGAAATTCTTAATCGGACTTTCTTTAATGTCAAGTTGTAATAAAACTTGTGAGGTTGAGGTGGTCGAATTGATACGTGAGCAAAAATGTGTGTGTACGTACGGCAGGCATATCGATAGTGTTTTGGAATGATCTGCGCATGTGGTGAAAAGGGTTTTCAAGACTTGTGCTATTTTTAACCCCCCTATTTTTTGTGACGACAAGACGTTCAATATTTTTCTCCTGATCTAATCATCACATCAAAAGTCTCAGCCACAACCTCTCATATTCTGTAGGAAATACATACTATGCACGTTGGTTGTAAAGGTTTGTTTGACCTTTGGATTCTTTGATCTCAATCGTGGCCGAGTGTCTTGTGTCTTAGGAAAAAAAAGAGCAACCTTTTCAAAACATAACAAGCGCAAGCAAGACACAGCCACTCATATAGATGGTGCTCACTAACCATAATAATAACCTTCTTCTTTACCACACTCTGTACTTTGCGGCTTAGTAGTGTTTCCAGCATATGAAATTCGTCAATCTAGGTATCCGTAAATATCCTTGGCCGGCCTTGGACCTTTAATGGGCTTCTTCTTGGCTTCTTGACCGGGACTCTTTTGAGAGAGGATTTGGGAGGATTGTGGTTAATCAGAAGTACTCTTCAGTGACCTTCACCAACCGGACAATTGTTAGATGGTCAATTTCAGCTAATACCAATCGATACAGATGTTGCAAGATTTGTTTCATTTACGAGATTTTGATGTTGTTTTATTAGACACACCAATCTTAAGTAATTCACTCTAGATCCAGAGGTCTCTTACGGAGTATGGAATAGACGAATAGTCTTGTCCCTAATACGAGAATTAAAAACGTCACGGAGAGAGGAAAGAAGAAATAATCGGAACGGAATTAAATGTTTCAAAAAGACCGATATCAAAGACTGAGTTGATGTTGACGGTTGATGGTTGATGGCTGATGGGTTGTTCCTTCGGCAGTGCAAGCTTGGTAGATCCTTGGCATAACATCATCCATCACCGATTTCACACCTTGCATTGCATGTGAAATGCTGCCCTATCATTTTTTGATGGCTCTACCAACAACGTACTGTATTACTGTATTACTGTATTACTGTATTACTGTATTACTGTATTACATAGTACCTACCTACCTCCTCTGTACTTTACCAAGAATCAATTTTAGCCACAGCAAAAGATTACATACTGAACTGATGACAAGAGAAAACTCCGGCAAGGTATCTTTTTTAGCTCAAAGCCTCAGAGCCTTAGAAAGAATCAGCTGCAAAAATTGTCTTTCTTCAGCACTAGTGCTTTAACTTATACCTTCCACCATTCTAATCATTTTGTCTACGTATCAACCTATGACCGCAGCTTCGGTACTCACGGAAGCAGTTCTCTTAAATAGATACGTACGTACTTAGTTACGCATACAAAAGGACCCTGAAATTGAAACAAGCACAAAACCTTTTTCAACAATATTCACCACGTTCATTTCTCGCCTCAACTTGTTTGTCCATTTGCACCGCCGAAAAATTCCGTTTGTTTCTTGCGCCCTTCTCTCTACCTCAATTTTAATATCAAAGAAATTCGCAGCTGGCATATACTATACCCAACAGTCCTTTATATGATATGAATTGGGTGAATCTTTAACAGGGAATCGATTCAATTAAATACAATCTCGGGAAGGATATCTTACGGACATTAACTTCATCTATCACATCCCGATCCATTCTTCAAACTTCATTCCCGCTGTCCCTCCTCCGTTCTTGTTATCCACTTTACGAAGAGGAGAGAGAATCCACATCATCGCTGCTGCCGCGTAATCTTCCTTTCCCATTCGAAAAAGGGTCTGAACGACTCATCTCAAACCAAATCATCCCCGTCCACGCTGCACATCGAACCAAATTACGCACAATCCTCATTCCCCACCTTCCGAAAGTGCACAAATTCACACATCCACCCAACTAAAACCTTTCAAGGGGATTATTTCTGGTACCCCATCAAAATATTAAAAATTGATAGCCTGCAAGCAAGCAGAATTATACAGAGTACGGAATATACACGGGTCTCCACTTTCGCAGATCCTCCCTATTCGATTTTTATTCAAGAGTAAAGGAGGACGTCTCACAACATGACGTTACGGAGTAAGTCATCTTTCATTTCCAATCCTTTACCTCACAACTTGAAGTCTTCTTCAAAAAATACTCCTCCTCCAAAACTTTGCGATTTCTTGCCCGAGGAACCAGAGAAGGAGCTAGAAGCAAAAGCAAAAGCAGAAGCTATTGCGGAAGTACCTGAACTAGAAGAATTCAAGATGAGCTCTAGTCCCAAAAAAAGGTCGAGATCCGTCTCCCGCTTGCACCGCATTTCGGCATATCTTCCAAATCTTTTTGTAGACACAGATTCTAAATCCACCAAAGAAAAGATTCCACCCGTACCTCAGGTTCCCAACATTCCTATTCGACCACCACCGTCTCCTGCAGCTTCCGCAGATATCCCGCCCGTCCCCGCGATCCCTCCTACACCCAATAGTGCCCCTCCTGCGCCAGCAGCATCACCGACTCAACAAACACCTAATAAATTACAAAAGGAACAACCTCGTAGCACCCCGTCGCCATCCAATGCATCTGCATCAGCATCGCCAGATGCAGCAGAACCGCCTGCCAATCAAGTCCCAGAACGAAGAGGCAGGCACGGTTCGATTTCGAAGGTGAACTCCCTTGCACCTCCATCTTCCTTTTCGGCAGTTGGTGGCAATGGAAATAGATCAGTTTCGTCTCCTATATCTGGTCGCCCAGCTTCATTCATTTCCGATGGCGAGAATAGCGCAAAGGTAACCAAGCGGAGGAGTTTCTTCCCTGGAAAGACAAAGTCGAGGCATTCATCATCACATTCCGGGACGGATGGGAGATCGCCTGCTTGGGTTATCGCGGGAGATCAAAAAATCGATTACAATATTTCACTTGTTACCAGTGGTGAGAAGGTAGTGATCCTCTCGGTAGACCCCTCAAAGAAACATTGTAGCTAACAGATTATAGGTACCAGAATTATGGGAGGAATATTGCGATACATTTGTACACGTTTTTCCAGAATCATTCAGTCATGGACCATCTTTCAAAGTTCCTTCCTTGATCTTATCATCATCTGGACCTCTTCACGAACTTTTAACCAACAGTATTGCCAAGTGCAGGTCGACGAGTCTCGGCTCTACCGGTAGACAAAGTCCAGACGCATCAACCGGTACACCTCCGGAAACTCCTGTTGATGGACCAGCTGCATCTGAGGCATCTTCGGATTACATGAATCCATTACCCGAAGACAATGGAGAAGTTCATCTCTACTTCCCAACAGAACTGTCGACGGATGATCCTACTAAATTTTCTCCCGAGGATATTCAAAACCTGGCCGATGTTCGAAATTTCTTTGCATTTATGACGGGCCAACCACTTGTTGCAACCAAGGCTTGTCCTAGCATCTACCATATATTCTTGGCCATTTCCTCAATTCTACAAAAATTCGAGTTTACAAACTTTGATGGATCAACTTATGGGGAGGCCGCAGCAGCTAGCTTTGCATTCTTCCTGGACGACTATCGTTTAGCTGATGTTAGACAAAGTCGAGAGAAGAACATTGAGGCGCTTGTGTTAGGAGAGCGCATGAGATCTACAGAGTTATATCACGAGGCATTCGTACACGCGGCTGGTAAATGGCACTCAATCAAGGATCTTAAATCAAACCTTTTCGATGAAATTTCAACCAACACACGCGATCGACTGGAACGAGCATCCTTGGAACTTTCTCAGCGACAGCAGCGTGCCGAGGAACGTTTGGCGGATTTTGAGTACCCTGCTCTGTTTTCTGGTGCGGCAGCATCAAAGACTAGCGCGGAATCTAAAATTGCTCGGTTCCAAAATTGGAAGGGGAATTATCTTGGCATGAGGAGACACATGTTATCATACTACAAAATTGTGCATGGTCAATGGCCCCCAAAGCAAAAGACGAAGAATCAATCTGTTGAAGGAGGTCTTAGTCGTCAAGTACTCAAGCAGCTTTATACAGATATGTGTAATCTTTACGACTTTTTGGCTGATCGCGATGCCATCACAACTCGATCCATGGACTCGGATGACCAGGATGCGGCGCATGCGAATCCAGTTCATTTAGCGGCGCGCAAAGTGTTGGCTGAATTTGATAGATCTTCACCACCAGTTCTACCACCCATCCCATTTGATGTACCTAAAATCCCAACTATGGCATCTATCGAGCCTGGCTACCCTCTCTTGTCGCCTAAAGATCAACATAAAGCATCAACCCGGAAACTTAAGGAATATGAACTACTCCTCATCTTGGCTAAAAGTCATAACCTTGATGCTGACAATAAAACTCCATTTTTGGAGATGTACAAAGCGTTCGAGGAAAAAGAATCGAAGGGCAAGAACGTTCAAGAATTGGCTGATCAAAGATATGGACATTGGTTGTTCCTCTATGCAGTCATCCAATCACTTCCCATGCTTGTAGTAGATGTAGACAATTTACGATACACCGAAGGGGTGGATTATTTCTTATGTCAACCGCCACTGGGTAACTTACCTTGGATGGAAGATGCATCTGGAGTGAAAATGGCATGGTATGGAGTTCAAGGCGGTCACGGAGTAGTCAGTTTACCTAGTGACGTCGTCAACTATGGTACGGAAGGTGTCTATCGAAGATCACATTGTTGGACTGTCGCTCAGAAATGGATCAACAATGCCGAAGCGAATGACCTCTCCCAGCCATTTTCATCAGAGGACCAAGACGAAGGTCCACTGTCACCGTTGGCGCCGCCTCCTGGATTTGGTGGAAGTTCGGGCCGACCAAATAGTCGAGATCGTGATAATTCTTCTCGAAGATCCAGTGTTGCGAGTAATGGTATGCTTGGAGTTGATAATCGTAGCAACAGCAGACAATCCCAGAGGAACAGCGTCATGTTGGGCTTGGAAATGTTACCAATTCCAGGTAACATGGAAGCTGGTTTCAGATCCGACTCAGCAGGTGGACGTGAATCACCGGTCAGCGTCATGGGAAGAAGAGGCGCATCTCCATATGGTCGCAACAGTGTGGCCAGCCGAAACAGCGTCATCAGTCTCCATCCGGATGGTCGACCCGCATCTTCAGCTGGAAGAAAGGAATCGACTTTCGATGATATTCTTGGTACATCAGGTTTGGGACAGAAAGACAAGGGAAAGAAAAGTTGATGAGAATGGATTGAGGATTATTTTTTCATGTTCACATGAGGGATGGAGTTCGAAAATTATAATAAAGTTAAAGGCATATAAGTGTTTATGCTAGGGCTGGTTAATTTAGGATACCAAAAAGTTGAATGATAGGTATGCAGTATAGCGGCCAAGCGAGCATATCCTGGAGGGACATTTAATGGCGTTTTGAACTTTTCTTCGTCATATCAGTGGGGCACGCATGGGACGGGAAGGGAGGTAGGGGTTAGATGACCAGTGGTTGGTCATGTTTTAGTTAATTTGCTGTCGTCTAGTGCAGTTGCAGGATGAATGTAATTTAGAGATATTGAGCCGAGTTAGCTGTGAGGCTGTGAAGAGAGGAAGAAGCCATGGGAAGATAATAATGTAGCTACCATGTTTGAAGCAGAAGCAGTACAGTGCATCCACTGGCGGTCTGGCCGAAGGCAAAATGTCAAGCATTCATTTCATGTATGGAATAGCATGGGAGAGATAATGTTACATCCTCCCGTTACATTTCCTGCCGCCTCACTTATCCATATGAGAGGTTTAATTTAATCAAACCATTTTCCCTAATTTTTCCACGCACCTGATGGGATATTTCTTGATTTTTTTTGTATGTATGTTTTTTTGTGTTGTTATTTTTATATATGACTAGGTAGTATTGCAAGCTAGCTAGCTAGCTATATAACAGCAAGTCAGCCAGTGTATAGGTAGCAAGTAAAAAGATGACATGTCTAGGCTATCTACTAGGCTACCAGACAGGTAGAAGTAGCAAGTCTTCGGAGGTAGGTTATACAATGTAAATGTAAATGCAAACATGTAATGTAATATAATATAATATAATGTAGGTAATTTATATAAAGTAATATTAGAGATAAAGATTTTTTATAAAACAAAATTAAATTATAATAAAGTAAGACTTATAATAAGAATATAATATTAATATCAATATTATCTATAAAAAAAATTTAAAAAAAAAAAAGAAAAAGCTCAATTATATTTTAAAACTTATGTTACGAGGTTTGCCGTCTAGATCACGTGGAAGTGCTCTAGGCTCTCGAGGTGGTTTATAACTAGGCGTCAAGCAGGGACTTAAGTAATGACAATTATGATATGCAATTCGTAACTAACAGTAGAGTATACTAAATGATTGATCTTGAGCACGAAGCTCTATACAAAGGAAATCCATCTTGATTATATAGACCTTCGTATTATACATCCCATCGCCTCCCATCATGTCCCACTGCCTGTAGTTGAGTGATTCTAGGTGGGACAATATTAGATCATGTGACCATAAGCTTAGTCACCTGAGTAGCTGTTAGGATTGATCGTAACAACTTATTGATGTATTTAGATTTTTTTTGAAGATTTTTTTTATTCTTTTTAATTGTTTGTTAAACTCAGAAATATTCAAAAATAAAATAATTGAATTAAATTAAATCAAATTAAATATAAAAAAAATCTTTTTCTTTAATTGATTTACATATTTTAAATTAGATATTATTTGATTTTTTTTTAAATAAAAAAAATATTAAAAAATATAATTATGAGATTATAATAAAGAGAGCTAAGTTTTAAAGGGAATTGAATAAATTATATTATTAAACTTCTATCACGGCTTCAACCTATTCTAATTAACCTACATAAACACATAGTTTTTTTTAACCCTATATAATCTACACTCCTCCTAACACCTTCTTTCCTTTCCTCCTTTACAGAATATCATCATATTACTCGAGCACCTACGTAGAGATCTATCTGTCATGTCATTGTGATAACTTTAAATAATTATAAAATTGTATATCCCCTAACACTGTGGCGTATAGTATGCATGCAAAATGAATGAATGGATGAAATGCAGTAGATGAGATGGGATGGGATGATAAAATCGTAAGATTTTTCCAGACGGGGCTTACTTGGCGTGCGTGGCGGATGGGAATCATGGAATCATGGAAGGCGAGGATAAAGTAGCCGGCTTGTTGCGAGTACGTTTACGCGAGGGGTAGGGGTGTTTGGTTGGTTGGTTGCTTGGCTGGTTGATTGGTTGGTTGGTCGGTGGTTTTTACGCACTAATTTGTTGAGTGTGTGGTTTTTGCGGGGGGTTAGTTTGGGAACTAAGGGATCTGGTTGGATTGTGTTGCGGGTGGTTTTTTAAGCTTATTTTTTTGGTGTTTTTATTTTATTGGAGCTGCGGCTTAGGATTGTGGTGTTAGGATTGTGGTGTTGGAATTGTGGTGGTTGTTGGATTGCGGTGTGGATGTCTTTTTGTTGGGAGTTTGGTATCCCCTATACTGTACTTATTTACTTACTTGTTGGCCATGGTTACAATTGCAACGGGCGGTTATGCTAGTTTTCCCATGTTTGGAGTTTTCAATATTGGAGATATTCATTAGATGGACTGATTAGGTTTTATTTATTTTTCTGGTCGTGCAAAAAGACGAGATTTACCGTACGGACTAAGCGAATTTGTAGTAATGGGTTCTTTTTTTTTTTGCGATGGTCGATGGGATGTTTCGGAGGAAGATGATATTGAAGGTTGATCGTTTGATACGCATGGGATTTACGTAACGGATTTTAATGTCGATGGTTGATTTATTGGGGATGGTTGATTTTCAGATTTTTGTTTATTTTTAGCTCGTAGACTTTGCAGTTCTTATTTTCTTATTTTCTTAATTTCTCGGTTTTCTCGGTTTTCTCCCCGTCTTGGGATGAGTAAGTTTTTTTGTTACATTTTACATTTATAGTTTACTCCCTAGTTACGGAAGTTATATTGCCTGGGATTGATTACTGAATGGTGTACAGATCCAAATCTGTCCTTTCAAACGTGCATTCAGAAAGGAAGCGTAATTGGTGGGTGTTAAAATAAGGTGGAACGGAAAGATAAAATGCCTATTTGGAGATGATCAAAAGATGCACCGTGTAGGAGAAAAACGTCAGCCTCTGACGTAGGTGGGAAACAAGCCAGTTTATACTCTTGAGCTCTTTTTAAGATGCGTAAGATGCATAGGCGAGAATCTTGGGTCAGTTGATTAATAGTGTTCGATCGTTCATGTTAGCAATCCGATCGAACGGACTAACGGATTGCTACCTATGAGGCGGAGGCTGCTTCTGTCAAGAATTAGTTACCACGTTAAGAAGAGCTTGGTAATGGGATTGGCTGACGGAGAAGAAAGGCTATAGGCCGAATCGTCTGAAGTTTATGAAATGATTGGATGATTTCATGTGGAAGATATGCAATAATATCAGTCTATTATACATATTTCCTGCATGAAGTAAACCCATTCCAGCATTGGCGATCCGGATTCAAAAGATTCTTCGAGGACAGAAGGTCTAGAACGGGCTCATGCAGCTCGTTTGACATGGGAGACTTAGTCGCATGTTTGACAGTTCAGCTGCAGAATTTCAAGCGTCGTTTTGGCGGGTCCCCATGGGGAAAAACATGGTAAATCATGGGGTTTGGGAATACGCTGCTGTAGATCTACGCTACCGTACCTGCCGTGGCGAGTACTCGGCGGATATTTTAAAATTGTCCGCTGCGTGATAATGCTGGTGTTATGATCTAGTTGTCAGGCCATTCTTGATACCTGTTCTTTTGGCTTGGTATATGCACTTTATCTCGCTTGTCTTCTGCATGTGTATTGCGTAGCATTCGATTTCGTACAGAATTGCATGTTGAGATTACGGTTCTTGTAGAATAGGAGAAAAAGAAAAGCTAGTTCGGTTTTGGTAGCAGTGGAGCTCCTTAATTTTGTAGATCTTTTCCTTCCTCGCTTTCAATAGTACAGTCTGAATATCATCAATTTTAAACTTTATGCTTTCCGTGACTCTCGGTGAGAGCTTATTTACTCCATTATGACCGAATTGGACAATATTGGCGAATGCCAAGTTAAGCATACTGGCTTGACTATCAATATCTTCACAGAAGTAGTTGGCTAAATCAAGAAATTGGAAGATATGCAAAGAATGTTATACGAAAACTGACATTGCAGATTACCATTGGAAAATAAGTGTCAACTTGAAATGGATGTGATCGACGTTCTCGGCGCTGCTGAGGGAGCCACATGTAACTCACTCATGTAGAGATGTAGTAGAACGGGCCCAAAAGGTCCAGTTGCCGTCTGTATCGGCAGCCACATCAGGAATCCACCTACGTATGGGGAAGTAATTCTGAAGTACCGCTGTCGTCGTATCTCCAAAATAGTCTAGCCACATCTCTCTTGAGAAGTATAAAAAGCACAGAGGTTCCCAAGTCAAACAACATCAATCCATCCATCAATCACTTCTCAATCACATCAACAAGCACTTCAGCTCAACAACACTCTCAGCTCTCAAGCTTCAAACACCAAACTCAAAACTTCAATCAAAATGCGTGCCTCATTCACCGCCATCGTCACTGGTCTCATGGCCTTCAACGTTGCCGCTCTTCCAGGTGTAAGTTCCTAGTCACACAACCTAGAATTCAACTCCAATATACTAACAACTCATTAGGGAACCCCATACACCTGGGGCAGCGGCGCTCCAGGCGGCACACCATCCTGCGCCGGCAGCAAATACACATGTAAAAGCAACTCGCTCCTCTCCGTGCTCACCTGCACCAACATCTTGAACGGCGTCGGCGTCAGCATTCCTATTATCCTCCTCAAGGAGCGCGACGTCGAAGCTAGAACCTCCAACCAAGATGGAGATTACTGCTGCACTTCCAATGGATTGCTCTCACTCAGCTGTCTCAATGTGGGCAATGGACTTACAATCACTGTGCCTATCATTGCATAGATGAAGGCTTTGGCATTTGATGGATTGGGGGATGCGAGAAGGTGATGGAAGAGGTTTGGAGGAATTGGTGGTTTGGTGATTGATGAGCTGGTGATATGATTGGTGTTTGTGGGTGTGCTTTCTTCTGCTCACAATATACGATGTTGAAGTGGATGAGGGGATGTGGCTTTGCATAGCAGTCCTTTTAAATGCAAATCTATTTAATATACTACCGTTTGAGTAACTTTACTTCATGATGTTTGTTATGCAACTGCTTCGTGAGACCTTGGGAATTCTGGGATTAGATACCGGCTATTTCAAAGAATCAACACTTTTAATTGATCAAGATAAACTATGTTCGAAGAGAGGTAACTTTGGACCTTTATTCAAAAACTTTGAGACACTAGCCCCAGTATCATAGTGGTTCTAAGAAGGTCGAATGTACGGTAGATTGGTTCTGGTGAATAAACCGCGACTGTGTGATATTGTGATGATTGCCCAGGAGCACAGCTTGCTCTACAGATCAGTAGCAAGGAATTAATGAGAGGCGATCACCGTCATCGCGAGATTTTAATGGGTTCCGTGAATTAATGGTTATGATCTATCGGGTGAATAAGAAATATAAGGCACTGGAAGTATTATGAGAAGAAATGTAATCGTGAGAAGTATTCACCGTTTGCTATTCTGTCGTTTGATGGGAATCTTCTACAGCTAGTTCCTGTCCTAGCTGCACAAAGTGCCAGTAATTATGCTAAGCCAGCATAATATAATAAAGTAGATCAGAATTATCAACTCACAAAGATAATCAATTAAACACTATGATTCAATTTATATCCTCGTTTCTCATGACCGTTGAGATACCACTGCTTCTACTAACGTGGTTTATCAGGACCCTGTACACTTTTACCTCAATTATTACCTTTCAACTTCAACACGCGATTTATCAATATTTAATTATACAAATTACTTCAAAAGAAGCTCGAATCAATTTAGCTATTGAGGCTATTCGTATATCTCAAAATTTGAGTATTCGGAAAGCTACAAAACTCTATAATATACCTTATACTACCCTTATTTTTAGAATGAATGGAATTCTGCTTTTTATTGAACGTCGACCAGCAAATCATAAAATGACAGAATTGGAGGAGAAATCGCTTCTTCAATATATGTTGGATATGGATGAAAGAGGGTTTAGTCCTCGAATAAGTGATATAGAAGATATGGCGAATTATATACTCGAAACGCGGGGTACGAAGAAGGTTGGAAAGCTCTGGGCTCATCGTTTTGTGAAACGATATACAGAATTAAAGACGCGTTTTAATTGCGTTTATGACTTTCAAAAAGCTCTCTGCAAAGATTCAGAGCTTATTGAAAGATGGTTTCGATTGGTATCGAATATGCAGACCAAATATGGTATTCTGGACTGCGATTTCTACAACTTCGATGAGACAGGCTTTATGATGGGACAAATATCATTATATATAGTAGTTACTAAAGCTGATTGATATGGAAAAAGCAAAGCTATACAATCAGGCAATCGAGAATGGGCTATAGCGATTATTTATGTTGATGAAGAAGGTCACAATATACCTCTGTTTTTGATAGTAAAAGGCGAATACCATCTTTCAAATTGGTATACCGAAGGTGATTTACCATACGATTGGCTTATTAAACCTACTATCAATAAATAGACAGATAATAAAACAGATCTTGAATGGATTAAGCACTTCAACAAACATACTGAAAGTAGGAAAATGAGTAAATATCGAATGCTAGTGCTTGATGGGCATGAAAGTTATAAATCGCCAGCATTTCAGGAATACTATAAGGAACACGATATTATATTATTTAGTTTATCACCTCATTCTTTGCATTTAACTCAACCATTCGATATCGATTGTTTTGGTCCTTTAAAGTATTCATATAGTCGACAAATCGAGAACTTTATCAAGGCGCATATCATTCATATTACCAAAACCGAGTTCTTTCAAGCCTTCAAAGCTGCATATATCGAAGCAATATCTATATCAAATGGTAAAGCTGGGTTCCGTAGAGCTGGGCTAATCCCATTTAATCCGGAAATTGTACTTTCAAAGCTAGATATTCGAATAAGAACTTTATCAAATAGATCAATATCAACCGATCCTGATATATGGCAATCTCAAACACCTCACAATCCAATTGAAGCTCTTTCTCAATCCACTTTAGTGAAAAGTCGTATTGCTCAACATCAAGGGAACTCACCTACTCCAATATTTAAAACAATTGCAGCTTTAACTAAGGGTACAGAGCTCTTAGCTCATGCGAATACGCTTTTAGCTGCTGAGGTTCATAGTCTCCGCAAAGCAAATGAAGCACTTAGTAAACGCCGGAGAGCTAGAAAAGCTTTAATACGAAAAGGAGGAGTACTTTCAGTAGAAGATGAACATAATATATTAGAACAAGAGAATGTAGAAGATCAGATACGACGCGATGAATTTACAAATGGTGATTCTTCAGCAAGGAGGCAAGCTACTATACGACGATGTAGCAAATGTGGTAGTGCTTTACATAATGCACGAACTTGTCAATTAGATCCAGCATTAGTTGGTCTTTGAATTGTATATAATTTAATTCTAATTTATAGTATTGTTATAATTTTATTTCAATGGAATGTGGGCAATTGAGGTAAAAGTGTACAGGGTCCTGATATGTACAGGGTCCTGATAAACCACGTTAGTGCTTCAAAAGGAAGGTACGTAAGGTTACAGCAAGCAGTGGCCAATCGCACCTCATTCATAAGCGGCACGTGCTTTCAACGTCTGATTTATCTGATGCTCCAAAAACAAACATTGCCTAACATAAAAGCTTACACATACTCCTGGGTTGCCTACCTTCTTTTTACCCTGGTCTCTTAGGTTTTATCGCTGATTAAACCAGTTTCTGATTGGCTTTGATGTTTCACTAGATGTTACTCAGTCTTGGTGACCTATTTTGAGAAATCGGAAAGCACTTACTCGAGCTCATTAAGGGCTTTTGTACAGCAACGTTTTAGAGCTTAGCAGAAAATAGGAGCGACTATCTCTTCGCCTTGTCCGCCGCGTTTTCCCTTATCATTTCGCTCGTCAGTTATCCTCTTCGCACCAGTTTCTCATGAATACCAACATCTATTCACATTCAAATCAACGCTAGCAAGCTACCTCAGACCAGAACGTTCCGCAACTCATGGGATAACGAGCTAATAGAGCTAAGGTCAATATTTAAAGCAATCAATGGTCGCTTATTCCCATTGCAGTTGGACCAATTTGCCCACTCACGCATTCGAAGTCGTTAGCTTCTTTTTAAAGAAAATCGTTGGCGTTCTCGATATTCTGTTCGGAGCAAAATGGACGGAGACACAATGGTATTGGATTCAGATGGAGACGTAGTACTTGTGCTGGATTTGAAGGAGCCTGTGTCTGAGGTCGTGGTTGATGCTGAATCAACTGATTCTCCAGAGCATGAAATGTCTGCTGACGCACCATCCGAGGATGTGATTGATACTACATCAGCTGACTCCCCATTCAAGCCTTCAACCGTTAGCACCTCTCCGACAACTGAGCCAAAGAAGATCCGCTTCGTGGTATCGTCTAGACATATGATGCTCGCCTCGCCTGTTTTCAAAGCCATGTTACGAGGAAGCTTTCAGGAAGGTCTCAAGTTAAAAGAAGCTGGTAAAGTTGAGATACCGCTCCCGGATGATGATTGTGCTGCGTGGAACATCTTACTCAATATAATCCATGGCCGGTACATGGCCATTCCACTCCAACTCAAATTACAAGTAATGACCCAAATTGCTGTCTTGGTCGACAAGTATAGAATGCATGAGGTTGTTTATCTATTTCTTCCAACTTGGAGGAAAGCAATGGACTACCCGCCCACTCGCTGGGAAGATATAATAAGTTGGATTTGTATATCATGGGTCTTCGAATTGCGAGAAGAGTTTCGGGAACTCACTAAGAAGGTGCAACTAGACTGCGACAAAACTTTTGAGTCTACGATTAAACTGTACAATTTAGACAACCTCCCCATTCCTCAGTTGATCATTGGCAGGTTCTCCTCCTTCAGTATATATTGAATATCTGCTGACAATAGTAAAGACAGAATCGACGCATCTCGCCGCGAAGCAATGGAAAATGCTTTTAATGTCCTTGAAAAAACGATCTCACAATACGAAAACCAAATTCCCAATTGCGATACTTGTAATATAGAATCCCGCCTTCTAGTCAATGGGCTGGAATCGCATAGAAGGTGGTGTGATATAATGGTTCATGGGAGTCTTGTAAGATCTGCTGAACTTGAAAACATCTACCCTATTCCGTCGGCTCCGCACGAATGGCTTTCTTTCTCTGATTTGCAATCAAGAATAAGCCGCCTCGATATTGTCACAGCATGTTACATATTACTGAGAAAAACCTGCTGGGACCATCAAGTTCACCAAACTCTGATTGCATCGATCAATTCCGCTGGAGACGAGTTGGTTGGGCTTCTTTTGGGACTCATTAAGGTTGACGAGATGAAGCCACAGTGCCCAACTCAATAGCACTGGGTGTGCATTGATGTATGTGATAAGTCTAGCTAATGGAAAACAATCAGGGTATCTTGCCACACAGATTACTGGGACTCGGTAGATATGTATCGCTGGACTCGTGGAATGAACATTTTTGGAAATGATTTCTGCAATATCTAGATCACTCAAACATGCTAGTGCTCGGAATCAGATTCGTATTTGAAATCTCACTGAAACTAGGTATATAGCAGGCTATATACGCTATTGAAGGTGTGCTTGCCGCGGGATCAGGGAGTATCAAAGTTGGTTACATGTATCATAACTAATGATAGGGAATAGATGATTCTGAGAATTCAGTTTCTTTACATGAATGCTGAAGAGATATTTCGGGATGTGATTATGAGTTTATGAGGGTTCTTTTACCTTTAGTTTGAGCTCCGGCGTAGACAAGGGGATGGGAATTTGCTGGAACATAACGCACAATAACAACACATCCAATGCGTCTCCTGCTCGAGGTTCAAAGATAACTGGGAAATACTAACACTTACTTATCACCCCCCCTTTACATTCATCCTGTCATTATTCTTTGCATCTGGCTTTATTCTCGTTTTGTTCTCGCTGGAATGCGTAGAAGTGACGAAAGGCATCCTCTATCATTTCTCACTTGACATATTGTCAATGCGGGCCCGTCGTTGAAGACAATAATATTAATCTGATAGTGCCCGGCAATGGCAGACACTGAATTTCCTAATTGAATTTGAGATCCTTGGTACACTAGCGGTAGCGCTATTAAGTGAGTGACCCCTTGTTCTGAATATTTTTCCGAAAAGGTCACAATGAAATAGCCGTGATCTTATACTCAGGTACATCAGATGTTGAGTCTGTCCTGGACCATTATAATCACAATATATGAGCACTACATTCCCGATGCATTATAAGATTGGCCTCATCCGACAATTATGTTATCCTCAAGCTCTGAAAGCTCCTCGCAAATTGAAATGTGCCTTCAGGCTCGCCATATCCCAGCCGAATGTCTTCTTATATATACGGATCATCCACCTTTTGAGTCCTGTTAAGGTAAGATAAACTTCTTGTTGTTGGTGGTTTCGGCGCCCTACGCAGCTGACTTTTACAGAATACACTTTATCTATGAGTTCGCTAAAAGCCCAATTCTTGTAGTCTTCTGGGCCCCGTGGAAGTGTGAATAGAGAATATTTGGAGAGAGTTTTCGTAAATAACTCGAAAACCTCCGCGTCACATGCATTTGCGTCTTCATATGTCATCGGGTCAACATGCGTGTACTCCTCGTCAGGTTCCTCTTCGTCGTCATATTTCATCTAGTGATTATGGGCTAAATCTGTCGAAGCACGATCTTCTGCTGACTAAACGAGTAGCATATCTTTAGCTAACTCGCATATAATTTCGTCTCCTTGAAACCATGATAATCTGGTGTCTAGGGATTTGAATAAACGCTCTAGAGCCGCGTGACGATATTCATCTACTTTTTCTACGGTCTATCAGTAAATAAAACGCTCCCATATCAATTATGTAGTCAAACTTATAACTGTTGTCGGGATTGGTAGTTCCAGCTGATTTCTGGCTTAGGTTTCATCCTCCGGGAGTGGAAGGGTAAGTCTTCCCATAGTCTTTAATTAACTCGAGATTCTCCTTGAAAGATCCCTCTAACATTGTCTTAAAAGGACTGGAGAAGCCAGCGAAATGCGCTTCGAAGATACTAGGACTCGGTAATCATAAGCCCAGATTGAACTTCGCTCGTGCAAAGTCGATTCTCCCGTTCGGGAGATTGGTGGTGTAATTGGGCTAAGCAGTAAAAATACATCCCCATCGGCAATATAGTTCGCCTCGGGAATCTCCGTCATCGTAGTCATGTCTTGCAAGTCCCAGAGGTGTATTCCAAGTGGATAGCGACTTCTAGTAAAAGAAGAGGAATCCTTTGAATCGTTTCCAACCTATCAAATAGTGGCACGAAGCTGTCAAACTATTGTGTCTCTTCTTCGAAGTGATGTCAAACACAGTCTGAATGTAGCAGTTCAATTCGAAGGTTTATTCAACGGTGTGGATTTCTCCTTTCAACGAAGAATGGTAAATGAATTTTGAATCAGAAAAGAAGAAGTGGAAAAGATTGAATTTCTAAGTTGAGGGGAAAGGAAATTCTTTAAGTACGAATGGGAGTAATAATACGCTAGTCTAGCGCGACATTCGACAGTTGGACTTGCAGAATTGAGATCTACTTGACTATCATATTATTTCATGTTTCAAGAACATGTATGGCTTAGGTGTTGAACTAGTTTGACGGAGAGAAACGGTAGATGATTTTTGCAGACTTATTAGAGACTAGAGACAAATCCCTGTAGCTTTGGCGAGTTATATGCAGCTATGAGGAGGGACTACTTTCTGATCGGCAAGGCAAAAAAGGTAATCGAAACTAACATACCAATATGCTTCTGATTGAGACCTTAAATGACCATGGACTCAAAAGGGAAGAGATAGGATTCAAGAATTGAAATAATAAATTGTGGATAAGATTAAAATAGTTGATTACTTTGTTGAGCTCAATTACGAAAAGCAAAGTGGTAAAATCACCACCTTTTGCTAGAAAATGACATATTAAAGCTTTATGAGCTATTATAGTAGACACTGGTGTAGAAAAAACATCAAGTTAGTCTAGTAGTCTTATGACTAGTGGCGAAACCGTTGAACTTCCTTCCCGATCTAGACTTCACTAGGCGTAGACTACCGAACCGCTTCAAAACTATCCTTCTTGAATGTCGATTAATCAATAATCACGTCATAGGCGCAAAAGTATCTGCTTAAAGAGTGTGAACTCAATCGTCAATGATAACTGCGAAGATATCAATAGTATAAATAGTTAGTGTAGATTCAAGCTCCTCGGTTTGTCATGCAGTGGTGTATTTGGACTTTGTACGTCGTAGTTTCCTAATTTAGTTATATAATCTCACATACGGTACTTTCCAAAAGATAGATAGTGTATTCTACATGTTTTAGTGATTTCATTTAGATAGTACTCTATGGAATGGGGTTCGTAGCTGCGTTCTACTTCGTCATCATTACGTCTTCGAATGATAGTATTGGCTTCTACATAGACGGAGAGGTATTCGTTCAGCTGGGCCCAAACACCGTTTGAACTTTAAGAGCTGTCAGATTCGAATTCACTCACATTTACTCCTTTCGACTTAAATCAAAGCTTCTTGGGGAAGCAGGAATTCATTGTTAATTGGGATTTTTCTGCACGTTCAACCTGGTCCCCAAGGAGGTTACGAAAGATGATGCTCAACCAAACATGAGAAAGTTCTTGCAACAAAATACCATAATTGAGTTGCAACCTTTATCCTTAACCATCATACTAACCTCTTCGAAGAGGTAACATGAGTCCCCAGATCTCTCGATCATTGGCACTTAAAATCTTGAAATAATATTCATTCAGAAGCACGAAGATTCAAGCTACGAAGTCTGACTCTTCAAAGTGTATGAGCTCGCTGGTGCTGTTTTGATTGAATTAGACTTGATAGGTAGGTTGCCACTATCCAAAAAAAAGCAAAGGTTCGTAAGTAGAGATAATGCCCAGACATCGGAGCCTGAGGTTTGATAGTATGGTGTCTTACTTTTATGCTTCATGCCTGGACCGGAACTAACAGGAGGCGGTCGGCAGATCATGAGTGCAGGAAATAATGAAATATTTATATCTTGCCAATGCTTTCAGGTCCTTGAAAACTATTCACATACGGGAATATTAGCATCATAAGAGATCTTGGCTTTTATGCGTTGCCGTTAAGCTTGTCTTGCCATTTTGTCTTCACGCCCGTTTTTTGTTGGGTGTCTGACATACTCTTGGAGGATATAGGAATTATTTAGATTGTACAAGAATGAGTATCAGAAAGTAAATCTTACATGACACCAACATGCAAGGAGAAGGGAAAACGAAAGGATGTGTGGATAAAACATATGTTGGTCTCTAGTAGAGGTGCCGTTTGCCTTGGAGTGGTCCTAAACTCAACATGTTAACCTTAAAAAAAAGACTTACTTCGATATTGTTCTCCGACATCTTTTCATTTGTGTCAAGTGTTCCCTCAACATACTTGGTTACTTCCTAACTCAGAAGAAAGTTCGATATGTCGGTGAAAAACACGATTAAACGAAGGAACTTACCGAAAAATGCCTTGAGCAGAGAAAATGTGATTTCATGACTCATACTTAAAGTGTAAGTGTATATCCTACAGCAAAACCCTTTCGATCATGGCTTGTACCTGTATTACTTTTTCGTCATTTTCAGGATGGAGTAGGCAAGTCTTAGATACTTACAATTCAATCGTGTCATGAATTCATCGCTTAAGTTTGAATCGAGGGGTATGCTTCTTCGGAGCATCCAACAGAGCATGAGAGTGACAGTTACCTGTTTTGGAATATATTGCTTTTCATATACGAAAAGGATGACCTAGTTGGTGATTGATCAAGTCCCAGTCGGCCAAGATGCCTTTTACCTAAGGATATGGAAACCATGAAAACTGACATCACAAATTCTAGTGAAAACAATTGGCTAAATCCACAATGTCGTCAATTTTACCTCGGAATGATGGCGCAAGGGCACTTCTACTGTTCCTTCTGTGGTGTTTCTAATTCGAGAATGCATACCAACCTTATATGAAGGGGATGATCAATGTTCCACTACAACCCCACGAGTGTGTGCATGTAAAGTCAAAAAGCAAAGTTGCGATTGGGCACAACCAGATGAACTAAACTTCAGATTCACAATTTTTCGTCTGTAATCCTTGAGTGCATGAAACTTGGCAGCACAGACAACGGTATTGAAACGCACGGCGTTCATCTAGACAGGTTGTTTCACCAAAATCGATCACGTGAGTATAACCTAGAACGGATCCCTTCCTAATCGAGTTTCTATCGCGAAAGGAAAAGTTTGATGGAAATTCTTCTTGGCTTCATCTTTTCAATCTAATAATCCCTAGAATACGGATGATCTACATCATCGCATTAGCACATCAGCTAGATTAATGCTTAAAATCAGCCACAATATGCATACGGGACGTTTCTACTCCTCGGCACGTCGCACCTCCATCCGTGGAGTTGCCCAAGAACGGAGATGTCGCGGAAAAAAGCTAAAGATGATCCATTGTAACGATTGACTTGAAGGATTGAAGAAACTTATAAGATGTCCATTTCCCAGTGAATTCTCAATCAATCATCTGTCAATCATTCTTTAGTCTTTCATTCAATATCGACGCCACCTTCATTTTTTATCTTTCTTTCACTATAAAAATGCATTCCTCTTCTATCCTCTTAGGCCTATGCCTTTCAACCTCAGCATCAGCTCTGTTCGGTTCTAGTAGTGGCCTCGGCGGCAGCAGTCGTCTTGGGACTGGTACTATGGGCGCTGGTGGTCTTGGTGGTGGTCTAGGTGGCGGTCTAGGTGCTAGTACTATGGGTAGTACTATGGGTAGTACTATGGGTGCTAGTAGCGGCCTAGGTGCTGGTCTTGGTGCAACTGCAGCTGCTAGTAGTGGTACAGGCGCCTGCGTTGGAGCCGGCGCCGTACATATGATAGTGGCTCGAGCGAGTACCGAACCCGCAGGAGAAGGCATAATTGGCTCCGTAGCCACCAAAGTCAAAGCCGCGCTCCCAGGTTCCGACTCAGAAGCAGTCGTATATCCAGCTACACTCGGTCAATATCAGAGCTCACAAGCAGCTGGTGTAACGGCCATGACGAAACTCGTGCAGGATTACGCTGCGAGATGTCCCGATTCTAAGATGGCCGTTATGGGATACTCTCAGGGCGCGCACGTTTCAGCTGATGTCATGTGTGGCTCTTCGGGAATGGGAGCCATGGGAGCTACTGGTGGTAGTCCAGCTTTGTCTGCGGATGTTGCTGGTAAAGGTATGTTATAATCCACTAGGACTTCTTTCACCATTGCACTCAGGAGCGTTCACTAACAGAAATCTCAGTCGTCGCAATGGTTCTAATGGGCGATCCAACCCATGTACCCGAAGAAACATTCAACGCAGGAACATCAAAGAAAAACGGACTGTTTCCCCGTAAAGATATATCTAGTTGTCCAGCCGAAAAATCAATTTCATACTGCGACACCGGCGACACGTAAGTTCCCTTCCTCCCATACGACTCCATCCCCCCAAATCTAACACATATTCCACAGATTCTGCGACTCAGGCATGTCCGTCCAAGTACATCTCTCATATGTCACGACCTACGGTACGGCAGCAGCCAAATTCATCACAGATAAAGTTTCCGGTCAAGCTACTACTTCCACACCTGCTGCACCTGCCACTGGGGATAATAAAACAGCAAAAGCCGCCTCACCATTCAGTGGTGCGGGCTTCGGTTTCAAACCCAAGCGCGATAGTATTAGTGGTGCTGCGAACTTGAAGAGTGGTGCTGGATGGAGCATGGTGATTGCTTCTGTGGGGTTGGGATTATTGTTGTAGTAGATGATTAAGGCTAGGAATAGGGAGAGAGAAGGCGTTATTTGATATCCAGTTTTTTTTGTGTATTAGTTTATTTAGTTTTACTTTGAGGATTTCCTGGGAAATCTCGACAGATGGCTTACGGGAATAAGCTGAGTATTGATTATAGTTTCAATTTTATCAATTTTATATTTCATATATTATATTATATCATACCATACCACTCCATAAACAAACTCCCCTCACATCTAACTCCATAATACAATACATCCATAACCCACCCTAGGCCCAACTCATGATTTCTATAAATTATTTAATCTTACAACATATAAAACATTAATCCAAGGCCTTATTTTGCATACTATAAACTATATCAAGGATATATTTACTATACTCAAATAATATTAATATAAAATTTATTGACTCTTTTAATTCTCTTCATTCAATATAATCTAAATTAATAATCAAAATAATTAAAAAATAAATTTTTCTTTATATAAAAGATCAAGTCTTTTTATATTCTTTTAAAACTAGTTTTAGATTTCCATTAATATAATTAAATTCTTTGAGGAAACTTTTATATCCTTATTGTTAAAAGGAATAGAAGTTACCGGTACTAATCACGTGTCGTGATTAGTAATACGGTTACCTAAACAGGCTAGATTAGATGAACCATAAGCAGGCATATTGGTCCCCTCCGAGGATACCAAGAGGAGACCTTAATATGCCTACAGACGTAGTAATATAGTCAATATAGAGGCCTCTTCCACCCAATCTTTTAATACTTATGGTAAAAAAAGATCAAGAATTAATAATATCAATAATAATAAAAACAAATTAACAATGACCTACCACTTGACAAACCATAACACAATTGAACAAAAGCAAACAAATAAAATAAAAACATATATTATAAATTAGATTACACTAAACACTTCCCCATTACCTACCCATCATCCTCTCGACACACTCCTTTCAAGATTTTATCTCTGCATGATCTACGAAATCCCCAATTGCATCCCTATCTTTATCCTCGTTTCCGCTTCTAGAGACATCCGAAATTAGCTGGGAAAGATTTCCACTTCCACTACCACTTCCATTCTCGCTATTGTTGGGGAATATTTCACTTCCTACTTTCTCGTCAATATCATCAATGAAGACCATATGACGCTTTACTCCTTCATTTTCCCCATTGAAATTTTTCTCATCATCATTCTTTCGATCAGAAATCGAAGCAGCTTGTAAATTTGTGCTATTCTCGCCATCACTTGGCAAGGAATTCCTTCTCAAGTTCGAATTTGGTGTTCTCGGTCCAGGATGTGCTGGATAATGCATATTGTGATGCGCCTCCCGATGAAGATGCTTTTTCTCTACTTCTTGTAACCTTTTCATCTCCTTTTGTTCTTGTCGGGAAGCCCTGCCTTGACGCCTAGTATATCTATTCAAACTCTCACAAAGCCGGTCCAATACCCACTCACTCTCGCTAACATCTGCCAGCATCGGGCTATCCTCCCCAATCCAATCCCACTCGACTAATCCCTCATCATCCTCTTCCTTTTCTACATCCTTTGCATTATGCGCACTAAATCTGATTAACCGCGTAAACTCTACCCATTCCTCATAACTATATTTTTTGGGTTTTTCTGCTCGCAAATCATTCGCAACGCGTTTGATGGCTGTTGCCAATTTCCGGGCTAGATCATGTTCCGTGTATTCAGCAGATCCTTCGACATCCTCAATGACCTGGCCAAGAGAAGGAGACTCGGGTTCTAGTTCGGCGTCGTTGCTTATGGATATTTGTCGATCATCTGGGTTTTGCACTTCAAACCCATGACGGATACGCTGTTTAGCTTCTCGTTCTTTCGTCTTCCTGGATAACCATTCGTGTAATTTCGGATGATTCATCAGAAAGTCATGCCAGACTCCCGCCTTGGGCATAATTGTCCAATCGGCAAGTGTAAATGTACCACGGTTAATGGCTGCTATGACGGTAGAACTCATATCTGAGATGAGGATTGTCATTGTGGGTATCGCAATTAGAGACCAAACAACAAAGAAGGGCTTTCCCGCGTTTGATTTAGGTGCAAAATCGCCATACCCAATAGTTAGAAGTGACACGTAGCAGAAGTATAAAGCCTCAAAGTATGTCAAATTTTGTTCACGTTTTTCGGCTTTCCAGAACACAGTCGCACCGCCGCACCACAGGATGGAGAAGGCGAATATGGACATGGACAGTGCGTAGTATTGCTTGAATTTTCGGACATTACTCTGAATTTCACGCATAGCATCAAAACGGTCCTTTTCTTCTCGAAGTAGAATCAATTTCTCTCGACGCTTAGCATGCTTCACACGCGGAGACTTGTTATCCGCCCGTTTTTGGAGCTTAGCGTCGCGGCTAAGAGGAAGGGAATTGCGTGATCGGACAGCTCCCCCTCGACCACTGTATGAATGGACTTTTTTTTGATGGAAAGTAATTGTTTGACCTTGAACATCGAAATGACCATATTTATCTAACGAAGATCGACGGGCTAGACCTGATTGAGGAGCTCCAGAAGAGTTCTCAACCGCACTACGTCGACGTGTGTCGGATCTAGGAGGTAATCCGAGACGGTCACGAATTTCCTTCTCATTTGTGACCGAGCGACCAAAGGTTTCCTGTTGCTGACGCATCGCATGATGCTTGAAGATCTTGTCCTGTGACATACCTGATGCGAACCTGCGCAAACTGTTGATCATAAGACCAAGGAATATGATACCAATGACAGCATATGGAAAAAGAAGGCCCCGGCCTAGATTATTATTGGGTACGAAATCTCCGAAGCCAACGGTCAAAATTGTGACATCACAGAAGTAAAGAGCATCAGCGTATTTAAAACCACAGACCTTCTGATAGATTCCAGCTCCACCAGCTAGCCATATGAAGAACATCATGGTTTGTAAGATGAGAGTCCTCTGGTCATCGTCGAGTTCAAAATGTTGTGGATAATGCCCAAGGAAGTAGCCGAGCATGTTTACCATTAGAACCATTGACCCAATCAGATATAATGAAGCTGCCATGACCGCGGACCAAAATCCTTGGGACCAAGTTTGACCAGGGCGAATAGGGGGAACGTATACATCCATGGCGACTAAGATACCTATAAGCTGTGATACCTGTCAGAATTGAAGTAAGTATGAAAACAGCTTGAGGCTTACGATGCCAGTTGATAGGTACCAGAAGATTATCGATAGCGGCAATGCGACTATATACCTGACCCTGCGCATAAAATTTAAGAGCAAGAAGAAGTTCCCGGCGAACCCGCATCCGAGCGAAATAGCATTTAAAATAATTTCCCTTAAAATTTCAAATCAGTAATGTTCTTGAATTTGGACTATATCTCTCACCATTCTGGATCAGGTATGCCGACCCCATTTTCATCCGCACCGAATGGTAATTGACCATCATTAGGTAAATCAGCCCTCCATTTCGTGACCAGAGCGGAAATGGACAAAACGTTTGCCAACGGTCCAATTGTCGCAGCAATGAGAGGAAAAGCCGTTGATGCAACCCACCAATCTCTATTGAACCAATGGTTAGTGGATAAAATATGGTGAAGAAGAATAAGTAACCGCACTGTGGTAGATCATCTGTCCTTGCTCTAAATTTGTATTTCCCAATTCTGAGTAGACCAGGTCCTGAGAGTTCGTTGTTCGGGGTAATAAAACTGCTATTATTATCGCCGTTGGTCAAAGAGTGGTTGTTTTTCACTAAGCCGAGTCCAGAATTGTTGCTCGCCATTGTTATGGCTTAGTGCGCGAGGCCATGATGTATCCTAAGCTTGTATTACTTCCCCAATACACTGCGATTGTTATTTTCCACGCGGTGTGTTTTGTTATTGAACGCCTCTGAATTGCACGGTTTGGTGGTATTTGTCTTCCTAACACAAACATAAAAAATGCAAGCATTTGAATTGATATGTTCGAATGTTCGAATGTTCGAATGTCTTTGTTCCTCAGCAACCCACTGCATGTAAGATCTTACGATGAACTGAATATGTGAATCTCTCCGACTTTTAGATCCAATAAGCTCAAAATAGAAATCTTGCACTATTAGCAGTAGGTATTGTTAGATTAAAAAAGACGAGAACAAAAATGTGAAATCGATTCCATTTGGAGTGGAAGTTCCCTACCTGACTAGAAATATAGGTTGGTCGCCATCAAGCTGCATGCGAATGCCGTTTACATGCAGGTCAGATTATGTAAGCGTGACTAGAATGTGGTCTAGATCGTTTAAAGTTTCATAGAGCATTTGCATTGATGAATTAGTAAAGGAGACTACCCAGCAATTTGTATATGTATTTTCAACAATCACAAAAAGTAGATACAAAAAACCTGTAGAGGAAATTTACCTAAAATATGAAATTATAGAGTTAGTCTTCTTTTGCCTGTCCATTATGACCTAGAGAAATATTAGTAGTCCCTGTATATAGAACTTGTAAGACCTTATATGATTCAAATACAGAAAGCTATACAGGAAACACCTATTTGTTCGACTAGATGAAGTGCATAAAGGGGAATTGTTTCGATTTTTTTATAGAGATATAGATATTATTAGATTTGTTTGAATACTTTGCCAAACCTTAATTAGATGAATATTTGTATGTGAATAAAGTAGATGGATGATAGGCGTTGGTGGCTTGAAACATCCTGATTGGCGTTTGGTATTTTTTTTTCATGTTCTGAAATTTAGATCATGGTACAACAAAGGAAAAGGCGTTCTCATCTGCCCCTATTGCCAATGGCAATGGGATATTAGAGTTTGAAACGAGAGAAAGTAGGGTGAGCAAAGTTGCTTCAACCCCCATGTTCGCTGACATATGAACAGTTTCAGATGTACTAATTTTGCTTTTTTTTTTTAATTTTCAACACAACTGACATGTACCCAACGCCTTGCCTTAAATGGCCCCGTATTTACTAAAGGAAATTATATTGTCTGAAGAGATAGAAACTGAAGACACTCATTCAGCCTCTTCTCGACCACCCACCCTTTCTACAAGTCTGAGAAATCATTAGCAACAAGTAAAAAATGTCTTCGAGCAAGGCAACGTACCGGAATATGCTAACTGCAAAAGTCATTCCCCATGCAATCAATGCTATCGTTATTATAGCACAGAGCGTCTTAGCTCTATGGCAAACCACGCCGTTATACCCCGTGTTTCCGACTTTGCAGCTCCCGTTGCTGTCTGATATCGCATCAAACGCCAAGGTCAAATTAGAAGCCTCAAGAATAATGAAAAAAAGATCTAAAAGAACGAGTCGGATCTTGGCTTTCGGTGCTCGAAGGCCTAAAGGTTTGCCTGTATATTCATCCCAAGTCATGTAGAGAGTATACGGGATAGCAATTACATCTACAACAATTGCCATAGTTGTAGATGGACTTTGAGAATATGAGTATTTATTCGAAAGATGATGAACTGAGGCTGCGATGCTCAAGGCGATGATAGAAGTTATAAGCACAATAAGGCGAAAAATAAGGGGAACATAAGGATTCATGAGAATAGTTTGCTAGATAACGTCAGCTGATCACTCAAGACAAAATTCTGGGCGTGGAACCTACCTGCACGCGTTTGTAAAAAGACTCCCGTTTCTTTTTGTTGTAGATGAGAGATGTGATATTATCGTCATCATCACCTTCTCCTTTCTCCAAATCTCCGCACCATGGTCTATCGTAACCAGGAGTTAGATTGTTCAAAAAGGCATGGTCAACGAGCGTGTGTTCCTCTCCTTCTGGTGCACCATACGTAGATGCTTTGATAAAATTTCGCCATACGGCAGCATTCGATTGTACCCCAGATCTTACAATAACAGGTTCCGCATCTCTAGCATGATCCCATTTCCTCCCTTTGACCGGTTCGCGCACGCCACCAAAGAAACCTGTCTCTACTTTCTTATCGCTTGTAGCATTGTAGGTGTCATCATCGGAATCAACATATCCATCGAGAGAAATTCTTCGTGTTGATGGAGTTGGAGTAGAACCATGCTGTGCTGGATGTATTCTTGAAGGGGTGGGAACCCTTTTCGGTTGTAACGGTGCTGATTCATCGTCGTCTTCGTACGAGCTTATCCAAGCTTTTGACAGGTAAGTGCAGGTCGAGGATTTGACTGTGGGCCAATAACTTACCAGGAAGTGAACGAGCTTCTCTTTGAGCTGCACGATTTTGGGCTTGTGTGCCATTTGTCGAATGTGTGTTTTGCGTACTGTAGGTCTTATGAGAGGAGGACGAAAGTGCTTTAGGTCGCCTGGCATGCTGAGAACCAGCTCTTTTTTTGCCTTTCATGGCAGCATTCTCAGATGAACCGATGCTCGCAGAATCCGAGAATTGGCGTGGCACTGTAAGGGAATCATGTTGAAAATTATTGTATGCCTCCAGCGGTAGTCCCAGCCCAAGTGTGGTCCGTGGCAATCTGTCTGATGTTGCCATAATACTAGGATATCCCCCGATATCGTGTGTCGCGGTCGCAGTCGCACTCCCAGTCGGCGTCCCAATCGCAGAATAATAAGTTGTTAAATGTCTGACCCTTCTTGTATTCTTCCAACACGCGATGGAGCAACCCTGAACGACGCTTCAATCGCGGTCGACCCCTCTCCTATTCCTGCATTGTACCCTTCCCTAAATAAAAGTAAGAAAGAAAAAAGTAGTCGAGTTAGAATTAGAGTTGGAGTTAGAGTTGGCGTTAGACTTAGTTATGAAACAAATATTAGAAGAAGGGAATTGATGTAAATGGAATTGCAAATGGATTGAAGTAATGAGTGTATGAATTGAAATTAGAGGATGAGAAAGAATTGGGGAAAGAGGATGATTTATTTTTGACATTTGTTTGTTTCGCGGTTGCGGGTTGCTTAAGATTAGGTACTTGGTAGGTCGAGTTGGGGTGGGTTCACCAGTGGCTCACCAGGTTTAGTTTTGAACAGAAAGATTAAATGATCTACCGAGGACCACTGAAGCAGCATTACTGTATTACGGAGGATAGACGGAAATGCGAGGGATTATTACTTGGTAGGTACTGGGTTTATTACTTAGTAACTGAGTATTATTACCCGTGCTAGATATTATTGCCCAGTGCTAGATATTATTACCTAGCACTACATAGATATTATTCCCTAGCACCTCCTCAACCATGAACACAGAAAAACAATGGGTCATGGACCATGGGCTCACCAAAGCGACCAAGACAAGGTTTATTACATGGGCATGGGATTTCCTCCAGGCATTTATGGGATTTCTAAGGTCATTTTAAGGTCTAACCAGGATAATATCCAACTGCATATGTATGGAATCTTTTCATCCACCCAGAGATACCACCAAATGCGACCTTGGTAGCTAAATACCCAGATAGTACATGTCGACCTAACCTATCGGAGACTATCGATACCTAGGCAGTTGGATAGAATCTTCTCCCCCACCTAAAATTTGTTCTTTTCTGACTCCAGATCCAAGGTTATCTTCATGCGTCATTGTACCTGCGATTGGAAGTTAGGCCTCATGAATCCAGGCAAAAAGCCTTCGAAATTTTGCGTTTTCTTCTAGCTCACTAGGTTATCTATCTAATCAGTTAAAAATAAGGAAAGAAGTCCAGAACAGAACAGAACAAAATATCACTTCACTTCACGTCATACCCATTACACTCGAATACAATTGATGTAGAGTACGATTTTCACGAACAAACAGACGTACAACGAATGACCTTTCACGCATAACGCCTAACGAAGTGTACGACGCAATATCTGTTTGTTAAACTATCTGCCGCGGATGGTATGGTTGCATAGACTTTCTATCTAATTTTCTGTCCACGAAGGACGAATAATGCGCCTCTATCTACTTCCCATCTCGACGCGTCGGACCCTAATCTACTGCCAGCGTCTTAATGTTACAACTACAAATGAGGTTTCCTTACTAGACAAGACGACCACAAAGGCGAACAAGCTCTGGAATAGTTGGGAGAAGAAAGATTCGGGATGGCAGAAAAAGGTAGTTGAGTTTGGGAACAAGGCTCTAAAGAGGATACCATATGAGGAATGGGGGCTGAAGTCGGTACCTCCCCTGTCTAAACGAAGACAAGAGGAAGAGCTGAGTGATAAAGAGAAGGTTGAGGTCTCATTTCCCTCGACTTTTCTTCCCCGAGAGAGAGTTTTGGAAATTTTGGAAATTCTTGGCACGGAAAGAAAACAACTTCATAAGACGAGATTGTGGGGTTCAATCATTGGGATGCCTATAGTTGCTCCCTTTGCGCTTGTGCCTATGTAAGTGCAGCTGCAGCCTCCACAATATTCTTCAAACGCTAATACCAGCCAGAATCCCGAATTTACCCTTCTTTTATCTATGCTTTCGTGCATACAGCCATTGGAAGGCACTGGCAGGATCTAAACATATTGAATTTCTTCTAAAGCAGAATCTTATTGCAGCAAAGCCATCTAAGATATTAGACGAGTTATATTTGAGGAACAAGATCCCGTTTCCTGATCCGAGGTGTACGACTCCTACAAAGTCATCCAAGTCGAAAGTATCAAATGTTGAGACTATGCTACTTCATGCTTCTGACGGAAAGAGAATTGCAAAAGCATTAGACATACCTGAGTTGCAAATGGAACTTGATCGAGCTGTATGGCAAGTAGAAAATGATCTTGAAGCTAAAAGAAAGCTGGGGGAGGAAAAAGAACAATTGGGTCGGAGCGAGGAAAAGGGCAAGAAAAAATAGACAAGCTAACGTATATTTGTATCACAGCTGATGTAACATGCTAGTAGCCTAGTATAAGGAAGGCAGTCTAGATTATAATGAGGCTATGCCATGCCACGAGAAATGACGCACTGTAATCATATAGCGAGCGTATCACGCGCCCCAACGATATATATCAATAGGTACCTAGGTACGAGTATAGAATACAAAACGATTATTCACTTCCCCTCGTAAGAAGATCGTGTCATAGTGCTACTAATCGCCGATCAAGGAAAATAGTTTCTTGGATTTGAACTTTGTAGTTAGATAGACTTTTACCTAATAGAGAAAGAACTAGAAGCTAATTCCGAACTAAAATGTCTACCGACAGAGTAGATAAAATCTGCCCACAACTGTGCATGTAGTCAGCTGCGAGTCGTTCAGACATTACCCGACTCTTTTAGGTTCATTAATACCGTCTACAAAAAAAATTTCTTCAACTTGATCTAATCTCACCTTGAATCATTACAACAGTTTTCCAGCCTAGTGTGCCGTCCCGATAAGAGATAAAAGCGGCACATATTTAGATCTAAATACAGGGGTTAGAGTAATCTAATTTCACCTTGGGTTTTTTTAAATATATCACGACAATACACTTCCCTCAACGCGATTTTAAAACATGCCCTCACGACGAAGCCGAGACGACAATACTATCATCGTTAACGGGGATGGCGATGAAGAGTGGGCAGCGCCATCTTCACCGGATTCAATAGGATCGGATATTGATTTCGAACCTAAAAACAAAATGGCCATCGATACGCCTCAAGACCTCGAGTCGCCTGAGCCAGAACAAGCTGATGGAGCTTCGGTCGCAAGTGTCAGTCCAGCAGTTAAACAAAAGGGTACGACTAAGCCAAAGTATTTGAACCAAATATCGTTCAGAGATCCAGGTTCATCAACAATGGAGGAAAGGTTACAAATGATGCCGGCGAAACGTCCTCTACCTTGGAGAGACGGAGTTGAAGCTGGTTCTGAACTCGAAACGGGAGGCGATTCACGTAGGAAGCAAATTAGATTTGGTTGTCTGCTTGCGACTCGGGGAAATGAAGTTGAAAGCCCTTGCCACTCATGTGCGAATGGTCGGGGCAAGTTCGAATTGTGTATCGCATTGCCAGGATTCTTCAAGGGAGCATGCGCTAGTTGTCAATTGAGTGGCAGACCAAATCGTTGTAGCATCAAGACTAATGAGGATAGTAAGTTTATCTTCACAACCAACTGTCACCAATATACTAATAAAATCTCTATCTAGTCGAACCCGAAGAATTTCATCCAGAAGATGGACTCCGGTCGTCGCCAGTGGCGGAGGAATTAAGCTCAGATTCACAAAGAGCTTCGGGTTCGGGTTCACGAAAAAATATAGTAAAGGGGACACCGGATGGATCTACTTCAACAAGCCACGCTCAAGAAGACATGCATTCTGGCCCACCAGCAAAGAGAGCCCGGGTCGAAGAGCCAGAAAAGCTACCTCAAACAGGCTGGCAAGAACCTCCTGTAGTAGACACCGGTTTGGGATCTGCAAAGTCGCGCGGACGCCCGCCTCGTTCATCTCTCAACCATGTTACAACCTCGTGGGCACATGTTAATTCTCCGCAAATGGCTACGCGCAACTCGTCTACACCAATCAATACTCGAAATGGCGGTTCCAGAAGGTCTGGTGGCCAAACTCCTTCGGCTGATAAGGAAACAACTGCTAAGGGACCATCCAGAAAACCAAGCAACACCCCAAGTACCAGTACTCCTCAATCAGCTCCAAGTAGATCAGCATCAAACGGCTGGGCTTCTGTCAACCAAACTCAGCAAGGATCTCAACCTACTTTCCCAAACCTAGCCAAACCACAAATTCCGAAACTACAACATCAGCAATCCAAGCCGGAGCAGCCGCCGGCGAAGCCAGAGCAGCAGCAGGTTAAACCGCCACAAGAGCAATATCAAGCTCAACAGAAGCAGCAAGTTATACCACCACAAGAGCAATATCAAGCTCAACAGCATCAGCATCAGCAGCATCCAGTTCAACAACAGCAGCAGCCACAGCATCAAGTTCAGCAACGGCCACCGCCACAACATCAAGTTCATCAACAGCCACCGCCACAGCCGCAGCATCAACTTCAACAACAACAAATGCAGCATTACCAGCCTCTTCCTCCCCCTCCACCTCCCCCTCCACAAGCCCAGTTACAGCACGGCCAACCTCAACCACAATTTCAAGTCCAGCCTAGCACTACTCCCCCTAATGCTTTTGGAGGCTTCGTTGATCAGCAAAATGGTAGGATGAGCAACGGATTGTCAACGTCTCAACCTCCGAAAAAAGTCAAACAGCTACCACCTTACCAACCAACCTTTGTTACAACTCCCTCTGGACTCTCTTTTGCCTCGGCTCCCCTCATCGAAACCTTGCCAAAGCGAAAGCAGCTTCAGCTAATGGGGATCATTAGTGGTCTCCAAGGAGGAATTGATAATATTCAGAGGGAGCTCAATCAGTTGAAGAAGACGCTTGGCGTAGAGGATGATGATATTTGATACGTTGATACGACGGAATTATGGGATCAAAAGTATTGCGGCGTACAGGGTACATATGTAAAACAGCTACCATACTATACTTTAATAGCAATAAAATGTGTGAATTTAGAAATAGGAACCCTCGGTATACCATGCCGACACAAGTGATCTAAATGGGATCCCTCTAGCAATTAATCACCCGGAAAGCTGCGGAATTCTTGGAGAGAATTTCAAGCTTTTCGTCTAGAAGCTAATTTGGTGAAGGATCTCTCCTCCCTAAGCGAAAACAGGCGGGATTTGTAAAAGGAACGATGCTAATACTGCGTTTCCCTTTTAGTCAAGATAGAACATCAAATCACATCGAAACAGATTCAGCAGAATGAGGTGAATAAATAGACTTGCTAGCTTCTATATTTAATTTTCAAGATTTGGAAAATGGTTGAGAAATTAATTGAGTAATTAACGTCATTTTGAAACAGTCTACCTACCAACTTTGCATACTATTTTGTTCATCAAAGACGAAAGTCTAATAATAAGTAGATAACAACCGCGTTATTGAAGCCTACTAGGTAGGCATAGCGATAAGAGAAAAATTTAAGGTTATCAGTAAATGCCTAACCACCTCCAGCTAGGCATTTGATTTACTCTAGCCCTGCACATCAACAAAATCTCTCGCCATCAATTCCGCCGCATAGCTAAACCACCTCTTCTAAAATGGAACTTCGCGACCGAGGTATTGCATCTACCAAAACACGATACTCAGCCGACGGACCAGGACTTTGGACGCGACGGGTCCCTGACAACGCGCCAGCTCCCGAAGCTCGCAATCGTTCTGAAACGAATTCGCAATCACCAGAGAGAAGAACGAAACGGAAACGTGAGGTAGATAATATGCGTCCCAGGAGAAATAGGGCTGCCGCGTCTAAAATTAGCACGACAAACAGTGCGAGCGGCAACGAAGAACAAGTACGAGCGAATCAGGATCAGGATCAGGACAATGCAGAGATAAGACAAGCGCCGGAAAGTATGAGCGAAGAAAGATCCAATGGAAGAGAAGCCAGCAATGGAGATTTCTCTTCAGATGATGGGAATGACAGGCGCTTCTCATTCAGCAATCATAGGAACGAGCCAACCTTTCTCGATCGCATCAAAGTTCTTCCCGAAATGCGCGACCTGCCATGGCGCGACGGTCAGGCATTACCACCGGAAAAATCTACTGAAAGTCAACGCGTCCAACAGAGAGGTGCATGTATGGTAGCCACTAGAGGGAGAATTATGGCAAAACCATGTACGCATTGTGAACAGGGCTACGGGCGATTTTCTCATTGTATTGTACTGGAAGAATGGTTTCAAGGAGCTTGCGCGACTTGTATTTTCACGAGTAAAGGGAATAAGTGCAGTTTGAGAATACAGTATTTGGGTATCTATATCTCTAACTTATCTTCTCCTCGAGGGAGGTCACTTTTACTAACAGTCGGATTGTGCAATTTTAGGGAATCAAGATGCCAGAGCTTTGAGATATGCGAATACAAACGACAATTCATCGAAACGAAAAAGATCAGAACCCGAAAAGACGGCAGCTGAGGATGACAATAACATATTCAATAGATTCAATTCACCCGGCCATTATGTCAGTCCCTATCCACCGCTTCCATCAATACCGCGGCCACCGTTAAGAACCCCAGGACTGAAGGAAGCTCAAGAGGCGGAATTGGATTCTTTGCTACAAGCTCAAATTGCCCGCGAAGAATTCGATCAAGGCAATATAGATGATGGAGAAGCAGCGGGGAATAGGCAGCAGGCGCGAGCGACTCCAATAGTAATGCATCGCCCACGATTCTATACTGGTGAACCACATTCAATGAGACAACTTATACAGCAGGGAGGTCCACCTCCTCCAAGCAGACAACTTCCCCAGCCGATAAATAACATCCCCAATGACCAGATAGCCAGAAGTCCTGTCCCGGCAATCGGTCCTCATATGATGGAGAGATCTCTTATTGGCGAATCTTCGAAGAGTACACAGAGACAATTTTTTACTGTTATAAGCGGAGTTCAAGGGGGACTTCAACAACTTCAAAAGGAGTTGAATTCGTTAAAGGCAGTTCTTGGGTGGGACATTGAGGATGAAGAACTAGACGCCAGCCGTCGACAAAACTCATCCTCACGAAGAAATACTCGATCAGGTCCATGAAACAACATTAATGCGAGAAAGGACATAATTTATTGATTGGCCATACAAGGTCACATATGTAGGGATATTACACGAAGAAATTGTCCACGTCGTTTGTCAAATTTTGCAGATTTGCAATCTATCAAAGTCCAAAGTTCCACAACTTGTATTCCCTTCACCAACGAAACTTGGCAGTGGTTAGGCACGATGATCGCATTATTAGGTTTAGTCTTTTTTAACGAAAAGCATATCATGTGTTGCTCGAAGATAAGTGACTTGTTCTGTATTTATATTACGAACGAGATATGACAAAAGGGGAGGCGAAAAGCCTGAGACGCGTGAAAGTGTTAAAGACAGCTAAATGCTTGGAGGGCTCTTTGGGGACACAACTGATGGTGCCACTGCACTTCGGGAAGAAAGGCTGGTATGAAATTAGATGTATGAGCTTTCAATAGGCGGGGATTGTGAAGATCTTCAACGGGTGGGATGGCAGAACATGAGAGCACAGACTTTACGGGGGCAGAGAGAAGCGAGAAGATAAATGGAAAAAAGATGCAATTTGCAAAAGAAAATGCGATATGAAAGTACAAAACGCATGTGTCCTATCACAATTTGATATCCACATATTGTTGGTTAAACTGATTGGTTCCTAGCCTAATGAAGTACAACGTTCGCTAGTGGCTTGTGAAGTACCAGGTACGGTACATGAAGCCATCCGGCCCCTGGCATGAATGATCTCTGCTTCCGAAATACTACTCTCCGGGTATTGTGTTGATGTTGTTTGCTTTCCCGTCTTATAGACAATATGTTCTCAGCAAGAGTTATTTGTATGTGATAGTCAAATTGGACACGTTAGTACGTGTTCGAAATAGCCGCACTCGTCTCGGTCTACTAATCTAGATTATCAATACGCCACAACACGCCTTGTCAACATTGCAGGTTTTCGGACGAAGAAAATATGATCCCGATGCTCTCATTCTATACACTGGCCTGATTCGCTGGGCAATTAAATCGTATGCAGATGAATGGCTTCCCACATGCATATTCTACTCCATTGAAGTAAGACATAATTGGTAGTGATGGGTATCATTGCATTCGAGTTCATCTTTGCATTTTGAAATGACCTGTTGTACCACGAGTACTTCCTTTTCCCTAGTTATCTGAGTTTTTCATTTCATTTCAATCTTCTTCTGCTTTAATACTATCGTTTTTGCATCATCACGATCATCACTGTCGCTTTCTCTCCATTTCGTGTTGTTTATCACTAGTCAACAAACAGAATATTTACCAAGCCTCAGTCGTTTACTAAAAATAAATTCAATTCTATCGTTTGAAGTCCGATAAGCATCAAAAGTCCGGGGAAGTCTTCCATTAATAGCTCTTATTGATCCCGTGGCGTGCATTTTCCACATTCCAGAGCCACTTCAACAAAAGATAGCAAGCCCAGTCCGGACAGCTACGTAACCATCGAGGCTTCTTTGTTACTGCTGGAAAAGAAGCGTCGAATTCAAAACGTCACGATCTTGGCGGGTGCTTTAGGTAGAGTGTTGTGTGTATCGCCGAATTCGCAGTGCAAAATTTGGAGCTATAGGTTATTCACACTCATTGGGTAGAATGTCATTCACTACTGATTTATGATCAATTTCCTTGGGAAAAATTCTACAGGAAAATTAATCTACATGGTTTCGATGAGGAATATTGCATCTAGCTTGATTTAGCTGGAAATAGCTATAGAGACATCTTGACGGCTGTTATACGGTTCAGAAAATCCAAGTGGGAGGAATTATAGACACAATGTCGCCATTACGAAAAGTATCACCACCTGAAAATGTTGAGTTGCCCAATTCTCAACAACCTCTTATGGAAATGACACAAGCAGGGCGATCAAACATGTCCTTAGCAGCGGAGTAGTACTGTACATTGAATCATCTAGATCAGCAGCAGATGTGTACAAACGGATTCCCGGAGGCTCTCGAGTGCTCACAAATGGAAAGACGTCCATCGACATTGAGTATGAGCCCGAAATCATATTTACCAGTTGTAACTTCACCTCTTAATCCTTCAACTTCTTCGACATCGGTAAATAGCAGTGATGAAACGAAGAGCGGACAAATGGGTGGTACCATCTCACTTAGGGATTCCTCCTCATCGAGCGAATTACCTCTTCCTACTTCCACAACCTCAAGCACCAACACTCAACAAAATGGAATCGCAAAAAAGAAAGGAAAAGGGTTAAGTTCTCCGCAGCTATTTCTACGGCGGAAATCAGAATTAGCAGGAATGGGTCTACAAATTGGAGATACACGAGTGGGCACACCGAAAGGCTTAAAAGATCTAGGCCATGATTATTCACGGTATCCCAGTTCGCGCTCGAGTTCCACCTCCGGCCCTTCAGGACCCAACACACCACTCCCCATTTACATAAATCAAGCATCTAGCTCATCCGATTCTCTTCCCTCGATACCGCGAAACCCCTTCCGCGATTCCACGTCCGCGATCCTCGATCCCGAAAATTGGAATTATCCAGATGATCGCGTGGGAGCATTCGATCCTTATTTCGGGGGTGAAAAGGGTTTTATACTATATGATGATGAGATTGAAGACGATGATGATTTACACATGCCTCATGACAATGATGATCGGGATTTCAAACCTACGTGGTATGAATGGTTGGAGAGGAGAAGTTTGATTAATGCTATTGGAGGTGTGTTTATGGTTATTGGGTTGTTGTGTGTTTTTATTTTATTGCCTGTGTTGACGTTTGCGACGAGGGTTTGGAGCACGGGGAGGGAGGGGAGTGGAAGTGGATATGTGGATTATGGACCCGCTTGGGCGCATGTTAACAATGTGAGCATGAGCTTTTTTCCCTTTGAATTTTCCCTTCCATCTTCTACCCTTTTCCTCGGATATTTTCTTCCCACCCCTTCACCCCATGTCAAATCTTCCTAACTAATACCCTTCTCCACCCAGAACACCTATCCCCTCCTCAAAAACGTACGCACAACCCTAATCGATCCTGACACGCCCCAAACTGCAAGGACGAGAGAAAGTACTTTTAATGGAGAGACGCTCAATCTAGTTTTTAGCGATGAATTTAATAATAATAATCGTACTTTTTATCCCGGGGATGATCCGTTCTGGACCGCGCCGAATATTTGGTATGGAGCTACGCAGGATATGGAGTGGTATGGTGAGTTTGAAGATTTCTTATTTTTTGGTTTGGGAAGTCCAGGATTGAGGGAGGGCAAGCAGAGATGGAAGTGGTGTGAAGAGAAAAAGTTGCATGGAAGTGAAATCTGGTATTGCGGAGTTATTGCGCGCATGAGGGCATATTTTGTTTGGCTTCCATGCATGCAAACAAATCCCGCCCTCCTATAACTTCGGTTCCAAAATTCATTTCACCTCCATCATACTAACAACCCCATAGATCCCGTCGCCGTCACAACCGGCGGTGGAACCCTCCAACTCCGCATGGACGCCTTTCCAAACCACAATCTCGGCTACCAATCCGGCATGCTAAACTCCTGGAACCAACTCTGCTTCAAAGGTGGCATATTCGAAGTATCCGTTTCTCTCCCCGGACCCTCCGGCGTTCCCGGTCTCTGGCCCGGCGTCTGGAGTATGGGGAATCTCGGCCGACCAGGCTACAAAGCAACTACCGAAGGCGTATGGCCCTACACCTATAATACCTGCGACTATGGAATCACACCCAACCAAAGCTCCTCAGATGGACTTTCCAAGCTCCCGGGTCAAAAATTAAATAGTTGCACGTGTAAAGGACAAGATCATCCCACGCCAGGAACCGGACGCGGTGCCCCCGAAATCGATGTTTTGGAAGGAAGTGTCGATCCCAATAATCGGATTGGCGTCGTCACACAATCATTCCAAGTGGCGCCTTTTGATATCTGGTATCGACCCAACTATGTCTTTTTACAAATCCCCGAGTACAACACCACGAGTATGAATAGTTATTGCGGAGGACCCTTTCAACAGGCTATTAGTGGAACGACCCTCTTGAATAATAATTGGTACGATGGAAACGCATATCAGAAATACGCATTCGAATATATACCTGGTACGTCTAGCACGGGAAAAATTGCCTGGTTTGTAGGCGATCAGCAAACGTTTATGATGGATGGGAGAGCCATTGGTCAGAATGGTAATGTGGCGGCGAGACAGGTGAGCCAGGAACCGATGAGTATGGTGTTGAATTTAGGGATGAGTGGATCGTGGAGCGAGATTTTGATGGGGGAGCTAAGGTTTCCAACGACGATGCATGTGGATTATGTGAGGATTTATCAGAGGGAGGGTCAGGAGAGTGTTACGTGTGATCCGGAGGGATATGAGACGACGGAGTATATTAGGGAACATCCGGTTGCTTATATGAATCCGAATTTGACAGTACGTTGTTATGTTTTGTTTGGTTTTGTTTAGTTTGGGGTTTGGTTTTTGTTTTAGGGGTTGGTGGAGCTGGATTGAGATTATGTGTGGACTAACATCTAACTTTTTGAATAGGCATGGAACGAAACGGGATATGATTGGCCAACCAATAAACTCATGAATAATTGCTGAGAAGAAGTTATCTGCTTTAATCACAAATACAGCTATTTCCGTCAAGTTCTAAAAGAACGACCAGACTGGCCTCGACCTTCAACTCGCAAGCCATCAAACTCTCAATCCAAATACTAAACACCAATCATGTGGACATATATCACAGATTTGAAATCTATCCTAGTCTACTCTAGCCTAACCACATCTGTACTCATCCATCCACACATCCACCCTCTCACTAGTTCACACCCATCCAAAGTCCAGTCTATCTCTTCCGATTATCCTTCACCAAACACCCTCTCACCCTCCCTCCACCAAACATAACCTTTACATATCCATCATACATCACACATCACAAACTACACCACATAAAACAAACCCACCACACCACACCACACCCCGCCACAACACGACATACACACACACATAAAAACCCCTCCCTTTCAAATCTCATCACCACCAACTACATATCCACATCCATATCACATCCATCCCAATCACCATCCCAATCACCATCCCAATCAACCCCCTTCCCAGCTCAAAATCTCTCTCTACCACCCCACACCCCCACCATACGCTACGCTACGATATGAAAGATTATCGCATCCACGCATTATTACCATCAAACAAAACAATCAGAATATCACATCATATCATATCATATCACATCTGATCCCTGAAATCCCATCAACTTGGGCAATGGATATATCCATATACATATAAGATATCACAATCCATCCAAGTCCCGAGTTCCAACTCCCGCGTTCCAACTCCCAACTGCCAACTCCCAACTCCTAAGATCCAAGATCCAAGATCGAACCCGATACTAAAAATTCTAGAGTATAGGTTTACTTACCTTACTGAGGGTAACCAACAGTTATTACCATCTACTAGAATTTTAAGATTTTTTCTAGAGGTTAGTTTTAGTGTCTTTGTTTAGATTTAGATCTAGATTTAGATTTGGATATTTTCGTATTGTGGTCTAATAGATCTAGATCTAGATCTAGCTCTGTTCTAGGTTTAGGTTTTGGAGTTTAGGTTTTGGAGTTTAGCTTCGGATCCAAGTTTAGATAGATGTTGGGGTTCTAGGATTCTGGGATTCTAGGATTCTGATCTAGAGTTAGGTCCAGGTTTAGGTCTAGGTCGTCTGTCTAGATAGAGTCTTGGTTGTATATATGATTGGATGGATGATTGGATGAATGAATGAGTGGATTATACGATGAGACGGGGGAAAGGAGGATATTAATCGTATATACATCAACAAATAAGTTAATAAGTTAATACTTTAATGAACCATAAGTCCTACATGTACGAATTAATCATTTGACATAATTTTTATCGCTCATTTAATTTCATCTCATTTAATCAAAACTATCTAGGTATACCATCCACCATCTCATCTCTTTAGCTACCACTCAAGCACTTCCCAACATGCCAGTAATGCTCTCTAGATATCATGAAATAATATCACCCGTTATTTTCTCCCGTCCAGTACCATTCCATTCATGGCAAAATCCACCAATTTTCTTTCATTTCTCTTTCCTTTGTATCATCATTCTCTTCATACGTTGTACTTGATTCCAAATTGACGGTCCATATAAAATGAAAATAAACATTTCGAAAAGCGAATACTATGCAACCCTTTGCGCAACATTAGGATATGTATGTTATCGCTCCCAGCAAAAAGACGAGCTCTAGAAACTCAAACTCCGTAAACAAGAAGTAAAAAGCAAGAAACACCAAGTCCTCCCTTGAACCATCCCAAGAAAATTTACCAATCAAGAGGCTCCTTGATCTCTTCACCACGATTTGTTTTTGGTACTGGAGCTGGCTTGACAGCCAACTTTCCATTCTTGCCTCGCTTCAAGTATCCGCTTCCATCTAACCATGGTGTCTCTTTTGTCATCTTCTTTTCGAAAGGCGGAGATCTATCTTCCATTTGAGGAGTTAATCCAATATCATCAGTCCATTA